AATGGGAACTACCTTCTTTTTTTTTTTTTTTTTTTTTACGAAAGAAATCCAGAAGAATTTTTAAGAAAACCATGGATAACTGCTGACCTGCCGACCTAATGCTAGGTTACTCGAGCCGCAGTTACAGGTCTTTCCTAATTTTGTTCCAATAGAAGTCTGCATATGGATCAGCTCCTAGGTGTGTTTCTGCTTCTAATATCCTCTGTTTTAGCTCTTGTTCTTTCATGTTGCCGGTTCCTGCTTTTATCTGAGAGAACACGTCTAGGGCTGATTGTAGCATAATCAGGCCTGCATCTGGCCATTGTTCCTCATTTGGAAAGACATCTTTGGCTGATTGCCATCGAAGCATGTGATTATTGCTCCAGTTAGTAATGCTGTTTTTATTTTTTACCTTTTCTTTTGCTTGTTGTTCTTTCTCTTCCATTGCTTTTTTTTTTTTTTTTTAATTCGGACCATTTCTCCATTTATGCGTGTCATCCTTGTGCAGGGCCCATGCTAATCTTCTCTGTATCGTTCTATTTTTTTTTTATTTTTTTTTTTGAGAAGTTACTGCTTTATGTTTCACAACAAAAGTGGTCGAGGCCGGGGACCTCACAATTCTACCCGGTGTTACCAAGGACGAGAAAAACCTGCTGGAAATCGGGTCCAGCGTCCCAAGACCACTCAGCCTCAAAAGGAAGAAGAAGAACTCAAAATAGCCTTGAAGCACAGAAAAAAAAAGGTGGCTGAACTAACCATAGCAGAAACTCTCCACTCCTTCAGCCTATAATGCAATACCCTTGCTGCACAGGAAAACGCCGGCATGTTTCTAGGATCGAAACACTATAATTGGCAAAGAACAACGAACTATAATCTGCAAATCTCGAAAAAGCGCAAGGCAATTCGCGAAAATTATACAGTTTAACCCTAAAATTATTTCCAAAGGCAAACTAAATTCTCAGACACAATTCAAATCTAAATTTCAGACCAAGTACTTACTAAAATCTAAACTGGGAATACTAATATTATCAACAGAAAATAAACGATTGAGAACAACCAATCCAAATTCCAAGATCTATCAAACTAGAAAAAAAGAGGAATCTCAATGACTAAGAGCTGGGAGGGAGGAATAGACATTAGGGTTACTCTTATTAACCTCACTATCCAAAACGCTGTAAAGAGCCTTTGTTGCCTAGACGGGTTTAGCCAAATGTCATATGATCCAGGCACTGCGGCCTGATTCCCACCACGCACCCAATGGATACAACTCTAGTTTGCTCTTCACCGGGTCTCTCATATCATCCCTACCCTGTGAGTATCACCCTAAACTACTGCAAACATACCACAGCACTTCTCGTTCCATTTTTTTTTTTTTTTTCTTAGTTCAGATTCATATATTCAAGGAACGCAATCGAGGCCGGGGACCTCACAATTCTCGTTCCAATTTTAACGGATGTCCCGAAGGACGGTTTTTTTTTTTGTTTTGTTTAATCTTCCATCGTTTTCTTTCGCGCCTGTTGCAACTGGATGACAACTGAATTCGCGAAATGCATGTGACTTTTCAACAAATGAATGTGACGGTAATGTTGACTACATTCGGGTGTCCCAAAGGACGGCCGGGTAGACATTCTTTCGCAGCTCAGTTGGTATGCGTTGTTTCCTCGTTCTCCCTTTCTATTTTTTCTTTTTTTTTTCCTTTTTTGGTTTCGATTTATGCGTGTCATCCTTGCGCAGGGGCCATGCTAATCTTCTCTGTATCCTTCCAATTTTAACGGATGTCCCGAAGGACTGTTTTGGTTTCCTCTTTCTCGTGGAATGTTGGTCATCATGCTTTGCCCAGCCCGAAACCCTTGGAACCGTCGATAACCAAACCGGGGGCGTGGTCCCACTAGCAAAGAGGATCGGATCGAGTGCCTGAATCTGGACGTGTTTGTCGAGAGGAGCAGGAAATCGAGATGAACTGCTTTACTGCATCTCTGCATAAAACACATCCAGATTCAGGCATTCGATCCGATCCTCTTTGCTAGTGGGACCTCAGCCCGGAGTTTGCGCCTGGCCACACCACGGTCGACAAGAAAAAAGTACGAGTGCATCTTCCCGCAGAGAATGGCAAGATGCATTCGTTACTATGAAATGCAACGGATGCATCCTACCACTTTCTGGGAAAGATACATTCGTTTTTTTTTTCTGTTTCGACAGTGGTATGGCGAGGCCCTTCGAATCCGTCTGTAATCAGATCAATAACACAACGCGGGACTACGTGGGGCCGGTCAGCTCCATGATGATACCCCAAGGCCGTCGAAGTTTCTGAAAAAAGAAAAAAAAAAGAAGAAAAACAAGAAAAAACAAAAAAAGAAAGGAAAAGAAAAGAAAAGGAAATCTTTTTTTTTTTTTCAGTAAATGATGATGTCTCCCGCACTTAGTGCCAACGGACTGTGATAGTCCTCTGGATACCCCTGATCGGTATTAACGGGGTCTATGACCAACACGGGTGTGAATGCGAGGGCGAGTGGGTTGCGTGTGGTGTGTGGGAGAGTGTTGGCCATAGCCTCCGCTGCTACTCGATGAGTTTGGGGGATGATGAGAAAGTGAGGCGCAGCTACTGGCAAAATGCTCGGTCTTTGCGTTAGCCGGACCCCCACGGCGGGGGGGCGCCAACATGAATTACCTCGTTTGCGAGGGCCTATGCTTGCAGGGGTCCCCTCTATATATATAGTCTTTTTAGGAGTAGTGGTAGGAAGGTAGTGAAAGGCAAAAAGAATGTGAGAGAAGTATAGGGTATGGGAGCTGTAAGGGTGGGGACCTATGTTAGGGGATTGAGTAAAAGATAGGTTGAACAATAGAGTTTACTTGAGGAAAGAATGAGTACAGAGACACAGAAGCTAAACCGGCTGATGCTGCCGGGATAACTCCGGGTTGAATTGTGAGGGCCCCGGCCTCGGCTTGATATGGGATTTGGAATATAAGTGAATGTTTTGAAAAAAAAAAAAAAGAAGAAGAACATAGCGTATTTAAAATTAAAAAAAAAAAAAAAAAACGATGATGTCTACACTTGCTTGAAGCCACAACTTCACAATTGCACTATATATGGTTCGATCGAATCGAGCCTCAAAGCCCACCAGGTGCGAAGATACACAGCTCAGTGCGCTGATTCGCTTACGCATCCCCGAGCGCGTGCTCTGCGCTCTCTCCCACACAGAGAGCCATGCTATCTGCGCGCAGTCTTTAGCGAACACGACCACAGTGTCACGCACACACGAGTCCGTGAAAGTTCGACGAATTCAAACAGTTCCACAGTGTCACACTCATGTTCTTTTTTTCTGTGGCGGTGCTGTGTATATCCAACATAACACACACACACACACACACACACACACACACACACCCCACA